ATATATTTTCAAAGATTTAACTGCATCCACATCTAATATTTCATTTGTTTGCCTTAACCTTTTCTCCTTTACTTGAAAAAGTTTGTATCAATTAAAATGACAACTAGAATTAGTTTTTAAAAAAGAAAACAACTATAACATATATAAATATTTAGTCTTATTAAAAAAATGTAATTTTGTACCTCTTTTTCTTATTTAAACCTCAATGTTGCTAGATGTCTCGCAATCTAGCACTGAAATAGTGAATGCAATAAAAGTCATTTGATTAAGGACCGATGGCAAATAAATAATAGAATAACAAAAAGTTATAAACATTTACTCATTTTTTTATTCAATCCAATCATCAGTAATCACTAATATTTCAACCATATCTAGAAGCAATCGGCACGAGTCTCATCAATCACCCAACCATCAATACTAAATACAAATTCTGATGTCATAAAATCTTATTGTATTCGATCCAATAGTCATAAAATATTTTATTATTTTATAAATTTACTAATATATATTATTTAATTAAATATATATGGGTTTGAGTAAGGTCTAGTATGGATCTAGATTTGGATATGGATTGTAGAAAATCAGATCCTACCCAGACCCACAACTCTTTCACAGGTCCGGGTTTGGGTAAGGTTTAGATTTGCGAAATTAAATCCAAACTCTACCCAAATATATTGGATCTGGATTAGATCCGGATAAGATCCGACCCATTGACATGCCTAATGCCAACCATATAAAAATCTAATGGGGTCTTGATTTGCTGCAGAAAATCAGCCTTCCGCACTTTGAACATTTTGAAGTAACATTTTCATTGTTCGCTTTGGTTTGTCACTTTGGTGTATATTGTAGACAAACAACATCCTAAAGGTTATTTAGTCTTTTGCACATTTACAAACTAAAGGAAAGTGAATATAAAATTTTCAATTTGAAACCTTCTTTCAGTGTTCATCCGTCGAGTTTCTATACCACCAATCTTAAAGCCATATTTTGCCTACGTCTGATGGCAAGTTCATTACAAAATTAGCTACCAACAATGTCAAATTGGAGTAATTTGATGGAAGCGACTTCATTCGTTCGAAAAAGGGCGTTCACCACGCAGATTTTCGTGAAGTGGGATGTGTTGGAAAAACAACGACTATTGCATAAACAAAAGCTGCCAACGCACTGTCCAGGATTCCCTTTTGAAGATAGGAAGGACAGCGGAAGAGAAGAACTCGTATTCCTTAGTATTCCTCCCTAGTTGAATTGCCAATTTCATCCCTCAACCTTTTGTTTTCTTTAAAAAAAAAAAAAAAACTATTTTTGTCGCTTAACTGGTTTATGAATCAATTCAGTCCCTCAACTTTAAAAATCCTTCTATCGTGGTCCGCTAAAACTTTTTGCCTTGAAATAGAAAAGTCACCAGCCCCACAAGGGGTATGTTTGTAACTTCAGGTAAGCCATCGTATTAAAACAAAAAAAAAAAAAGAAAAATTGCTTGCTCAATAAAATTTGGGCAGCATTTGAGAGCAAGAAAACCAAGGGAAAAGTATGATTTGTTCCAATACTGTCCAAAATTTTCTTTTCTAGGGTTTTAATACAACGTCTTGCATGAAGTTTCAAAAATACCCTCACATAGCCGCAAATTCAAAAGGACCTAACTGGCGGAGAATTTTGTTTGAGGAATTGTATTGGCTCAAAAACAAGTTAAGGGATGAAAATGATTTTAAGTGAAGAAGTTGAAAGAGTAATCGGAGAATTGAAGGCCTTAATTAAATGACAATGGAAGTCGTGAAGAGAGTTTGGTGTCTCGGGAGTGTGCCTTTAACAAATTGTTACAGAGCAGGGTTTTCTTAAAGAGCACACCTCCTTAAATGGCGGTGGCGGCGGCATTGCAAAATGAGGCCAAAACATGTCTGAGCCCGGGTTCGAACCGGGGACCTCTAGTGTGTGAGACTAGCGTGATAACCGACTACACCACCCAGACGAGGACATTGTCAACTGCCTACGTGATGACAAGTTTACAAAATTAGCTACCAACAATGTCAAATTGGAGTAATTTGATGGAAGCGACTTCATTCGTTCGAAAAAGGGGGTTCACGTCCTTTTGGTAGCATTGAAAGTGGCATAGGACTTGACTGATAATGAGATATGTTTGTTGGCATATCCTTAATTCAATGAGTGATGACTGATGACCCTTTCTATGTCTACCATACTATCAATACAATCAAGGAACTATGCGATAAATTGGAAGCCAAGTACATGCATGCACCAAGATGCTACAAGTAAAAAGTTTTTTGGTTACCCTTTTAGTAATTGGGAATCTTTGATGGAGAATGGAAAGCACATGTAGGGATGACATTGGTCATGCACCCTCAAAAATTTCTCTTAGCAAAGTGTAACCTACTCATCTAAGTTTTTTTTTTTTTTTTGTCAAAAACTCTATCAGATAACTCAATAAATTTGATTCTCATTGCTAAACCCTGTTGCTTGAGTTTAAATTACCCATTGTGTATATCTACTGCTAGGACTGCACACAATCGAACCGCTTGCGATTGGGCGCGCACTCTGGAGGTCTAGAAGGTTCGCTTCACGAACCATACTACGTGGACGGTGGATAGGGGGTCCACGTCATCATCGAACTCGAGTTGAGTTCGAACCAAGTAAGTCGAACTTGAGTTCAAAAATATCAACTTCGTTAGTTCGCGAGCTCGATTATATATATATATATATATATATATTTTATTTTAATAGTAAAATTACTTATATATTCCTAATATTTTATTATTTGTTAAAAAAATTATTATTTTATTCATTTTTTAAAAATTAAATAATTATATTTTTATTTTTTAAAAATAAATTAAATAATTATTTTTTATTTTTTAAAAATAAATTAATTTTTATTTTTATTTTTTTAAACCTCGAGCTCGAGTTCGAGCTCGACTCGAATTTGAGCCGAGCTCGAGCTCGAGTTTGATATTTTGACCTCGTTGAACTCGAGCTTAAGTTCGAACTTAATAAAATTAACTTGAGAATCAACTCGATTAGACTAAAATTTGGCTCGACTTGACTCGTTTGCACCCCATATCTACTGCTAATATGAATAGTTCAAATAAAGGGAATTAAAATTTTTTTTTATCAAACTAAAATCAATATATACATTATATTAAATTAACACACTAAAATGAGTTTTAAACTTGAGCAAAGCTATAGAACCTAAAATCCTAAATTTTGTGAAGGGTTAAATCAACATTTTGCCATAGACACACACACACAAAAACAAAAGCACGTGCGATGCATTTATGCACCTAAAAAATTTTTTTTAGGAACCAAATTATTTCTTGTGAGGCACGAGTAATCGCCATATATAGGACAGAAGTCATTTCACTTGGATACAACTAATTTGATTGAATCTAAACTAACATGCAAGTTAGCTTTTATGTCAGCCACTTTTTCTTTCTTGTACAGAAAGTACCACAAAACATTTTTTATATCTGGCCAAAAGAATCTTAACATCTTCATATTTTAAATGCTAATTTTATGCGTCTCAAAAATAAAATCAGTCCAATTCTAACCACCTTTTAAAGTGGTAAAAATGGCAGAAAACTAATTGAAAACATTTTCAACCAAACTATTACAGAGAAGTGCTTATTAAAAAAATAATGGAGGGATAAAACAAAAGGTAATAATAAGTGAGGGACTAAAGCTAAAATTTATGCAAATTTGTTGTCATTTCTTAGGTCCTCTTTCCCTGTGCGCTTCTCACTTAACATTTCTCCCGACCATTTCCCTTTTTAAATCACTTAAATTAGTACATCTGCAATGCTTATTCTTAAAGTTAATTGAACCTTTTTTTTTTTCTACTCTCCCTACACTTTTTCTATTCTCAACTGTTAAGCAAATCATTCGAATTTTGAATCTAATAGGTGGAAGAACTCTAAAACTCCTCCCTTAACCACAAAACCAATCCTAGTAATTAAAGTTACTTGAACTTGTTTCTCATTTTCTTGCATAGAAACTATTTTGGAAAATGCCTTTTCCTTTTAAATCATATAAAAACTATAAATATTGCTTTTGTATCAAAATGTTTTCTTTGTACCTACTACCCTTCCTCACATCTTTATCACTTCTAACTGCGAGGCTCATGCTTCAAACCCTAAACCTGACGGCGAAAAAAACTCTAGAATTCCTCTCCTGACCACTGAGACAACCACAATAATTTTTTTTTAGTGGTAGATATCAATTTACTCCGCCAGGAGCTTCACAACCTTGTTCTAGGCTTGCTTCTACTTCTGCATGTACTTTAGGTACTTCTTGAGCCACTAAGGAGCATTCTTTCAAAAGGCATTTTTGGGGCAAGTCTCGGAGCGAAAAAGGCATTTTTGGAGCGAGTCTCGAGACGAGGCGATGCCCAAATGCCCTGGACTGTTTGAATAGGACATAAGCGTTGTCGGGCATTCGCCCCACCCCACACGGCGAACACTCGGGCGTCGGATGTTTGGGGCATTTTTGTATTTTTTTTAATTTTGAACTTTGATTTTACTATTTTATCTTCTTTATCTTTGTTCGCTACCCTTATTATTGTTTAATAATTTTGAAGAATGATTCCATTTATTTGTTTTTGGAAATAGCTTGAAAAAATATAAATTAAAAGCATCCATGACTTTATTTCCTATATTTTTTTTCCTTTTCTTTGATCCCAAAATATAACTATTTTTTGTTAACATGATTTTAGATGGCTAATGTCTGAGTTAAAGTTATGTTATGATTTTACTTGTTAGATAATGATAATATTTTTATAATTTTCTTAATTTTATCAATTTTTTGTATTTAATAATAATATACATATGAATATTGTAATTTTGTAGTATTATTACATATTTTATTTTTTTTTATATATTTAAAAAATCAAATTTGTGGAACTTATGCCCCACGCCGTGGAGCATTTGCCCCAGTTGGGTGGACATAAAATGTCCGGACGCTCTCGTCTTTTAAATGAACATTGCTGCGGAGGCAATTTATAAGTAAATGTGTTGTTGCTAATAGGATAGTTGTCCACGATCCAAATGAGACGCCGCCCCTGTTTGCCAAAATATATTGAGTCAAGAACTTATATTCCAGCCTCCAGGTGTACAAAACCCAGCTAATGCCATAGCCCTCTGGAATTTCGTTACAAATAGACCGGGTACAGAGCTTCTTGTTCGTAACAGAGCCCATTTGAAGATGACTCCTGCCAGAAGAATCCAAACTCCTCCTCCATTTCAAAATAGGCGTTGTTGCTTGCTGGTGTTCCATTACCCATTGGATTCTCGCATGACCAATCAGCTTCACCATTGCTGCCCTAGACTAACGTTAAACAAAATAATTAACCTCCGGATTACTGTAGCTACTATGCTATAATAATTTCACAATGTGGCGCTGTTACTCACTTCAACATTTTGTCCCACAATCCGTTGGATTGCGTTCATTTCCCCCAAAGCAGAGCTATCAAAAGCTGAGCGATTCCCATTAGATTGGGACATAGTTACCCGACCAAGATCCAAATAAATGGTCCAAAATCAGTACCAAACTATTGGTGTAGAGAGAAGTGCAAGATCATCCAGCTTCCGAATAAGGACCCCAGGGCAATACTAGCTGTAGGACAGCCGGTTCTGCTTCTGGTGCAGAACTACGAGAAAGCTGGTTTGGGTAATAGGACTGAAGATAACAAATCCCATGAGTGGTGTAAATGAAAGTGCTGCAATGCCAAATGAAGATGTGATCAAAGCAGGTGAAGCAGCAGATGTTAGAAATAAAAATCAGAAAAGGGGGGAGGAAGCAAGAGCCAGAATCCTGTGAAAATTGCGATACCTCACGTAGTGGTTACATAATGGAGATGACCTTTGAGGAGATTACTTCTAATTGTGCCACTGAGCAAAGTTCAGGAGTTAATGCTCTTCATGTTTTTAGGAGACCCTTTCGCCAAAAGCATTAGGTTTGCTGCAATGAAAGTGGTCCTGATGATGATGACTTTCAGAGCCCTATTGCTAATTTTCACTGGAAGGTTTTGCAGCAATTTGCTTCTTTTTCCCCTTTCTAAGGCAAAAAACAAGTGCAATTAATGCAAGAGCCTAGAACTATGCTTACAATAGGTCCATCTTTCAGCCCCTTATCTCCATTTCCAGTATTTGGATGTGTTGTTTGATTTTTTGGAATCCCTGTCTGCACCTGGAGCTGGAGAAGAGCATTCCTGAATCTACCAGGAGGAGGTGGGGTATATGGCAGTGGCGGAGGAGCAGGACGATTGGAAAAGGAATTCCCATTGTATCTGTTTGATGGTAAATGTCAAAGGGCAAAGATCTAAGAAGTTTGTATAATGGGGCAATATTATAGATAACTTACTTAAAGCTACAGATGGAGAGGAGTTCATGTGGTATTCATCCACCGAAATTGTTGTTTGCAACATATCTACAACAAAAGGAAAAGAAAAGAAATGAACACAAGGTGTTATGTGATGTAAGCTGGGGTTAAAGTTCACGTAATTTCTCAGAAGGTAGAGACACTTACAAATCTATCAAAGGCTACCCAAGCAAAATATTGAGTGAACCAGTCAATTGGTTATTTTGCAAATAATTGCAAGAACACGTACTGCATGAGAAACTTCAGCAAGTAAATAGCAACCTCAATAAGAAGCACCATGCAAAACTTACAGAGTAGAAAATTTTGATAATGAGATGAAGGATCGAGGAAGGTCTATAGTCAAATTGTTGTTGGAGAGATCTGTGACATAGATGCAAGTGAGAACATTGTTTTAGAAAAGCAAAATTGAAAAAAGATTGGTATGCCAAATAATATGGATACAAGTCTTTCATGGTAAGGGAATCTCCTCTTTAATGTACCATAAGGTTGTAGCTAAATGCCCTTGATGATGACATATCTAGAAATTATTCTTCATGAGAATGTGCACTAAAACTGGAATGTAAACGCCGAATTCCAATTCATTGAAAATTTAAAGACAATCAATTTGAAGCATTGAAGGTGGTAAAAACTGAATTGTGGTTTATCACTTCAATAAATATGTGTAGATGAAATCTGAATAGCTAGATGTTAGAACTTTATCCTTTGCAGTTTATTCCCTTGTGTATAACTAACCATCCAAGAACAACAACCAAGTAGCATGAGCATGGTATGCCCAACCAAATACCATAGTATACTTGGCTATCAATAAATATTTCTGTCCAGTTTCAGTGACTCATCCCTTTTTAAGTTACCTTACATTTTGGTTATCTAATGCACTTGTACAAAATAAATCTTCTAATGTGTTCACTGTTTCTTAAAATAAGATTAGAACAGCTGGGAGTTGGTCCTATAGTGTATTGATGGCTGTATTTTCAAGTGGCTTGGAAAACAAATTTCATTAAATGGACTGTACGTAATATAAAATTAAGAAAATTTCTAGAAGTCTCAGCAAGCAACTCTGAATATGGAGGAGCAAAAATAGAAGTTCCTTTGTAATGATTGCTCCTAAATGTATCAAAATCAATAAGCTAAAGATTGTCAGTAACTAAATCCCTTACAACATTGCCATGTGAAAATGATTGTTGAAACATTCCTAAAGCAAATAGTCAGAGTTAGAAATAAGAGAATAAAGCTAATATATGCAATTGAAATCGTGAAAGATTTGTGACTCAAAAATAGCTAAGGTCGGCCATGTGAGAGATGGAGTAAGGAAGATTCACATTTATATTATTATAAGCAAGGTTTCTGTAGTGACAAATAACTTATCATTAGAAAATTAAAGAAACAAAAGACATGAGACGGTACACCAACTTACAGTTCACTGAATTATGGGACTTACATACGCATAAGGTTTGGCGGTAACTGATAAGGAGTTGAATCATAAATGATATTGCTAGTGAAATTCCTAAGATAAATAATGCACATAGTGATTACAATGTTTAGTGGCTGTTAACATTAGAAGCACCTTAAAATTCAATGATCTTTGAGCTCATTATCGATCACAAACACAACAGTCTTACAATGTTTTTAAGGACATAAGACTATTCAACAAGTATTTCATTATTCCATTCAGAACTTCGATATCAATCTATAAACTTACAGCGAAACAACTGCAGAGCTTTGACAGGTAATTCCTTTTCATGACTGTGCAGATGGATCGCTATCATTGGTTTTCCAACCAGTTAGTTGTGGAGGACTATTTAGTGTATTGTACAAAACTTGCAGAGTTGTTATTGCAGAAACATAAGGAAACATAAGAAGTCAATATTGGAAAACAAAATGAAAATAGTTCTTTAATATTAAGAAAAAAGTTCCAATTTTTTCCCTACTGTTGGCTCTCAAAGCCATCGAAAGAACAAAAGGAAAATAAATAGCTAAGAAGTGAATAATCAAGCTATTTATGATCAGAGAGCATAAGGTCAATTCAAAGATCATTCATGATCAACATATCTTCAGAGATTTCACTAAAGACATAGTTCTGCATCACAAGATTATTCTATCATCTAACAAAACCAATCCTGATTCTTGACATAGAATAAACGTCAAATCCAATAACAAAAAAAAAAAGGAAGAGAAAAAGCATCATTTTTGCTGACTATCAGATTCAATAGGAACATCTCTAGCTCACCTCAAAAAAACAGCATAAACGAAGTAGATGAGAGAATTATGCAGACACATCAGTTGCAGGCATTGTATGCTAAATATCCAAAGTTAACACTAAGCATCACAATAGTAGATAGGTTAAATTCCAAAATGCAGGAAAATGCAAAATCTGGTTTAAAGGTCATAACATAAATAATGGCAAAAAACATATGTTTAGCACAAAGAAACAGAACCTAGAAATGGACTTCTGCAAAGCAATGAGAAAGCCAACAGGAAAAGCAGAGTAGTGAATAATGCATGCAGCGGTGTAGCATGGAGAAGAGAAGACCTAATTTTCCAATTTCCAATAGCAAAAGTGGAAGCCTACAGTGAAATGACCTTGTTAGACAAGGATTGAAAACGGTTAGTCCATTCAATAAGCATCTACAAAGAGAAAAATGTAATTATACAACTCAAATAATATTGACTGATAGAACATGAGCATCAAATTTCATTAATGCAATAGAACTATCAAGGGTCCACTAATATCCAGTAGAGACTTGTAAGAAGGACAAAATTATAATATGACCAAAAAGTAATGCAATAGACAGGCATAAAATCTAGTACAATAGACATAAATTGACCACACAGCCTCTATGATAAGCATATAAAGGGCACAAATGAGATATTCCCCAACACAAAAGCATAAGGCAGTTGTACTAGCCCCAACAAAAATAACAAGCAACAAGCTGAAACGACAAAAATATCCCCGGAAGAGCAAATGAAAACCAGTGAATAGTAACTCAAAACGTCTTCTTATATAGTATAAGGAAGTCTCACATGGTGAGATTTTCTATATACTCTTAACATAGTAAAAGAGTACGAAAAATATAAAGAAAAAAAAACTAAAGACGAAAAATGATATGACGCCCGAATCATTAAACTCCAAAATTTTAAGAAAAATTGAAACTAATATCTATCAAAAGTAGTCCAATTTAACAGCTACAATCTAACCATTCACCAAGTAGAAATATCCAAACAAAAGAAAGCCAAAGGTTTACCTCTAAATTTTCCGTTAAAGGTCTTTGAATAATATCCATCTACACCAGAAAATTAGAATTCTAAGCATTAGAAACAAAGAAAATCTGAGAGTAGCAAAACCAACAAAATGAATACCCATTCTGCAGGTACAACTTTTCACAATATGACAATATAAGTAAAAATTTCTTTTAGAAACAAGAAACACTTGTAACCTTGCAAATTTTCTTATAGGACTATATGGTCGATGCGGATATCAAGGTGATGTGTGTACGTTATCAGAAGTAGATATAAGGGCCTAAAGCAAGCTACTTCCTTTTGCCAAGCTTATTGAGTTCATGTTTATCTCCTTTTCCATCTCCTATTTCTTTACTTCCTGCACGCCCAAAATACCAATAAGGAAAAATCTAAACTTTTTTTCCAAAAATCAAGAACATAATCACAAATAGAGGTGTCAAATAAAACTATTTAACTAATTTTACCCATACCCGCCCATTAATAAATGAATATGAGTACATTAAATTTTTATATATGGATATAAATGAGTTACCCAATTATACCCATTTATTAAATGGGTTTAATTGGGTAACCTATCTAACCCATTCAACCCATTTAACTTACATTCCCAACCTTTTGTATTTCCCGTTTTCACCGTCAATCTTCTTCTCCTCCCCACCAGCAAGCCCACTGCTTCCCCCCCTTCTTCCTCCAGTGTTTGTTTCCCCCATCTCTTCTCCCCGTCTTTGTTAATAGAAGGTTTTTGCCCCTTCCATGTCCGATTCCTGAGTTGATCTCTGAATAAACCCCCGGTGTCTTGAAGATTTTCCCGGAGAATGTTAAGAGTCTGATGCCCACTTGGACTGCGTTTTCACTCTAATGAAAGAGCCTGAGCTGAGTTGATCCAAGGTTCTTTTGGTATTGACATTTTTGGTATGCTGTACCATTCTTTTGTTTCTTATATAGGCCTTATATAACTGTTTGTAATAGCGTATGCAAATTTTTATTTAGTTAAGCTTGATTTTTCAGAGCTATATTACTTGGTTTGGTAACCAGTTAAGGTAATCTATGCGCTACTAGTTGTTGTGCCTTCTCTCTGAATTGGGCTAAGTTCACCCAGTAATCTGGTATGTGGTTTTGACAGTCAAGAATTTGATGTAGTTAAGCTTAACTTTGGAAGGCTAATAATGGTATAATTAATTTCAGGATTCTCTAATTAAGTTCAGTTTTGCAGATTGCTGAATCTAATTAAATATTGCACCGTAGTATGTTATCATTCTTAAGTTTTTGGACATCTTGGACTGGTTAAATGATTGTTTCGCTTACCTTTGTTTGCAGATTGCATGAGATCTTATTTAGTAAAAAGCTCTGTAGATTTATGGCTGGACCAAATTGACATACTTGGTAAAAAAAAAAGAAGGCAATAATTGTTAAGTGTGCTTGTCTAGCAAAACCAATCACTGTATTGGTTCTACCACTATCGTGATTGTGATCAATATGTTCATCCTAGGTGCATTTGCTTGCTTGACCAATATCCAAATGTCAAATTTGGGGATTCCCTTCAAGTTGAAATTCACTAGATGAGGTGTACAAAGTTGGTAGTATAGATAACAGAAATGCTATCCCATCATGATCCAACAGATGAGTTGTCAGAGCACATTCAGGAACAATGTTCTTATACAAGCCATGAGCCTACCAATACAGGGTGTATTGTTCAAGTTTCTTTGCCATGCAATAAGAGGGTGCATCAAGATGTCCCAACTAGATGGAACTCTACATTTGTGATGCTGGATGGTGCACTTGAATATAAGCTTGCCTTTCATCAGTTGCACGTGGTTGATCGCAACTTTAGCAGATTTTACCCAACTGAAGAAGAATGGCTTAAGGTGCAGAAATTTACAACAATGTTGAGGCCTTTTTATGACCTGACCACCCTTTTTTCGGGGACTAACTATCTAACTACAAATTTGTATTTTCATGGTGTCTGGAAAATTCAAAAAGTTATCACGGAAGAGGTCAATAATTTAGACATTGAAGTGAGTGAAATGGCCAAGCAAATGAGTAAATATCGTACTTCGCTCCTACCAGAAAATGTGGAGGTCTTGTTATGTGCTAGGGACTGGTTATATGGAGTAACAGGTATGTTATACTTAACCTTTCGGTGCACATGATCTTGTATTTTACTTTTTGGTCACTTATTGAACTTTACTTTTGATTTCAGCTTCTGAAGATGAAGAAGATAAAGAAAGACTGAGTATTGACTTTGCACCTTTAGTTGCTAAACTTACTAACCTTCATGTTTAGGTAAGCTGTATTCTTATGATCATGGAGATTGTTAGAAATGTGGTGAAAAGAATTTTATCTTTTTGTCTAGATGAAATTTTAGCAAAAAACAGAACTTTGAATTTGGTTTTGGTTTTGGTTGCCAGGAATCTTCTCTGTTTTGTGTTGAGCCAGCAGCAAACTTTTAGGTTGCTATCTTTGTACTGTCAAGTGGATATTTGTACTGTCACCGGCACTCCTTCAAGCTGCTTACTACAGGTGTTTGAAATGGTCGGTTTTGAAGTCACGTAAACTGGTCCTTGATGTTGTCAACTAAACTTGGTTTATTCTTCTCCTTGATGTTTATCAGAGGATTCAAATCAGGGAATAATATTTGTTTCTTGCTACAATATGTGTCTCTCTGCTGTGTTAAGTTTGTTCAACCTGCTTGGTGGTAATTTGTGCTAGCAGAGCAACCTGCAGTTATTATGCAAAATTGACACTGAAATTTTTGTAATGTAAGGGTACCTTTTTCTTCATTCACGTTCTTTTTCTTCATTCACCAGTGAGCTAGAGGAGTTTTATCATTTATGCTATGCAGTTGTACGAAGCTTGAGAAGCTGAATGCTTGTTATTCGTATTTATTGAAAATTTGTCTTTATTTGTATGCTAAATGAAGTGATTGCTAGTCTTCATCAGGATTTTTAACTATTTTTTATGTTAAGTATTTTTGTTTTATTTGTTATATTTATTTGTTGGTTTTATCTTATCGCTTTATTTCCTTGTAATTTATTAATTTGATCATTTTTTAGCATCATCAATTTATGACAAATTTTAGCTTCCTTTCTTACCTTTTCAAATGAAATTTTAAATTTATAAACGAAAAAATACTAGGGGTTCGAAGTTTTGGATTAAATTTTTTTGTTAACTTTCATATTATTTAGTCCAAATTTTTAGATTCTCATTGTTCAATTATTAAATAATATGTAATTTTGCGACATGGCATGCGGATGGAAAAAAATTGATAATTAGACTTATTTGGCATAATAAGTAAATATTTAAAATTAATGATGGGTGTAAAATGGTATAAATTGATAATTTAGTTAACAAAATGAATTTATATGAGCTTGTAAAAAATTAGAATAAATGGGTTATAAATGGATAATTGGGTTACCCAACTCATTTTTTGACTTACCCATTGATACCCATCTAATTAAATGGATATAAATGGGTTGACTCACTTATACTCATTACCCATTTTACCTAACCCAAACCCGCCCAAATCACCCATTTTGCCACCCAAACCCTCCCCCATCCCCCGCCCCACTGCCTACAAATTCCTCCCGCCCCCGTCCCATCCCCCGTCCCCGCCCCCGCCCCGCCTCGCTTCCCCTGCGCGGCTAATAAAAATTTGTGATATAATTTTATTATAGTTAAATTTTAGCAAATAATCAAGTACTAAAATATCAAAACACCATCAAATTATTATTCATTGTAATTTTACAATTGAAACTTATAAAAACAATCAAACAATAATTATTTGAATACAATATAACATGATGAAATAAATATAACTAAAGTAGTCAAGTTTTCACTTTTGACACAAATACAATCACTAATTCATTATTGTGCTTGTGCTTTTTTTAAGAAAAAATTGTTATTGTATTAAGTGTAATTAGGGATTTAGTATAAATGTATTAGTAAATTTAGTATAATCAATTAATAATTTGTATTAGTACACATATATAATTATTAGTATAATTAATAATATCAATTATATTATATATATACTAATAGACATTATATAATACATATAACTAATCATAAGTTTGTAACTAATTAAATTATATATTATATATATAATTATATATATATTATATTTATTTTTTTAAAGCGAGTGGCGGGGCGGGGGATGGGGCGGGGGTACACTCCTCCGTCCCAACCCCTTCCCCGTTAGCCCCCCGTCCGGTCACCTGCCCCAATTGCCATCCCTGGCAGAGGGCTGAGCA